TGTACCGTAATTGAATTCCCACTTTCATACAAATATAGCTTGATGCAAAGTAAGAGATTAATCTAGGGAGAAAAGCCTTGTCTCCCACCAAGTGCACAAATTAAGGCCTGAATAAATGTACATTAAGCCACATCATTTAAGGGGAGAGCTATAATGCACCAAATTATACCAACCAGGGAGGTAAGAACTGATCACCAGTGAAAACAGGCCTCTCTAGATTAGCGCACATGCATCTAGATTAAGACTGCTTAGTTAAAAAAAAAAAATCAATGTTTCCTACTTGCCAATTCAAATAAGTTATCGGGTGTCAGCCCAGCCTGCTCTTAGGAGCCTAACTTGGAAGCAGGGTACCCTGGCAGCACGGGCATACCCAGAGGCCCACTCCCATGCCCCACCGTGACAGTGCGGGCCACTCAGACAGCACAGCCAGCCCCTCCGATGCTCACCTTCACCCTCCCTGCAAAGGATTTTTTATCAGCCCCGTTTAGTGAGAGTCCCCCATGACATCATCTGCTTCATCACATGTCCTAGCAGCTATTTAAAACAGTCCTGATGTGTATCCGGCACCTTCAGCCAACCCAAAAGCAACTGCAGAGCTGAGAGCAGCATGCCAACAGCTCTGTTTAGCTGAAATCACACTGAGCAGGGGAGAGGTGCTCTGGGTCCCCTATCAGAGCACTCAATTAAAGCTGATCACATTTTAATTAGAGCCATATCACCCACCAGCTGCACCAGGCCAGCAAACAGGGACCCTCCATTTCCTGGCTGCCATTCTTCATACCCAGCTAGAGATCACTAAGCCCTCCCACTAGCCTACAAAGCCAGTCTTTGCCCTCAGTGCAATACCTGAAGTGCCATCTTTGGGACAGCCCTGGCTTCTAAATGGTCTTGATGTAGCCCTACACGAAGCCCACAAACTCCTGGAAGAGACTGGAGAGGCTGAACCAAACCTATGGGCAGCAATGGAGTGGGCCGACCGCTGGGAAAAGTCAGACCTATTCCTACAGCACTTTACACCAACACCAAATGAGTCCCCCATTGGGCATGACCTTGACAGAGAAGCATGGGTCAAGCTGAACAGACGGAGATCTGGATACAGATGCTTCAAAACAACACTTCACAAGATGAGCATCTTGGACCATGTGAATGCAGTACCCAACAAACAGCACAGTTCCTGATTGAAAGCTGCAATCCTTACAAATGCCCAGACAGGGCAGATGGAGTCCGCACATTGAGCAATAATACCAGACAGGGGCTCATAGATTTGGAAGCTGATCTCTGACGCTATAAAAAAAGAGACCCCTGTATATGCTGCATCTTCTCTGCAAAAGCCAGGACCTGTAGTTCACTGCCAGAGCAATGAAACTGGAAGCTCAACTTGCCGGGGCACAAAGATCTCTCACTGGGCCCCCAAATGTATGCAGCAGGGTTTGGAAGTACAATAGCAACCGTGCCCACGATCCATCTACGCTGTTGCTCTCCATAGAGCTGCCATAGTAAGCATCCTGTTTGTAGACAGCTCGGTCCAGCACATCACCACAATCAGAAGCCAGGGTAGCAGCAGCAGCAAGGCTGGCATTAGGGAGGGAAGCAGTGAACTGGAATAGGAGCTCTGACACTTGCTGAAAACCTGCGATGCTTATGCCCATGAATTCACGAAGCTAAGTGAGTGCATCCATGTCTAGGTGAGGACAAGCCAGCCAGGACTTAAGGAAGCATCTCTCCAGGGAACCAGGCATGTGTCTCAGCCCAGGGCAATACTAGGCCCTGGCTAGACTAGTGGAACAGGTTTGTCCTACAGCCAGACATGACCAGCTAACTTTCTAAGGAGTTCAGCTGGCCACACTATTTACAAAGCCGTGCTTAACACCCTGCCCACCAACCTCTGGGCAAGCTATTTTCCTAGTCTGGACAGGACGGGTATCACTTGATTATTCCAGACTTTCTGCACCGAGATACTTGCTCCCTACAGCAACACAGGCAACCCAGAGCCTTGGGCTAAAATTAGAAAGAGGCCCCAGTAAATAACCAGGGGAGACCTCCTGCAGTCAGCAGGGGAGGTGGGAGGGCGCAAAGGGAATTCAGAGCCACAGACAGAGTTTGGAGGTGGTGCGAGACAATCCTGGACTCAGCAGAAGGGCCCCAACGGGCTTCTTCCACCTTCCCCTGAAGGCTGGGCTGGACTCAATGGCTTAGAAGGTACCCATGTCCTGTGCTACCCTGTGTGCACCAACAGCCAAGCCAAGCAGCCTGTGAGAACAATTCAGCCAGTGAGGAGGTTCTGCATCCTACTAAGCAGGCCTTAATTGTCTGGGATTGCTGCTGTGCCTGTGTGGGTGCTGTGCTTCCTGGGAGGAGCAGAGCCAACCACAGTCCCTCAGTGCAACTGCACCCAGCCATGCACAAGAGTATATCAAAGCTGCTGCACCCAAAGGTAGTCAGTGCCCTTGACGTAACCAGTTGTGCCGAGTCATGCAGCCCTTGAGCAAAGCTCAATGGGGTCCCTTGGGAAGAAAACTGTGAGCCAGGCCAGATCAGAGGGTATGCTGCCACTTCAATGGAGAGCAGATCACTCCAGCTTCCAGCAGTGCCCTGGCAGAGGCAGGCACTTCCCTGATATGGAGGAAGGGTTTGGCGGGGGTTCTTGCTCAACCCACTCTCGGACTGGGTTTATCTGGCTCTCAGCCCAAGGGGGTCACAGCTTGGGGATCTGCTGCATTAGCAGGATTCTTCCTCCTTATATTGAGATCAGCACCATGCATGGGGGAAAATGGAGTATGGCCAAGCCATCAAGGTGCAGGGTCCACATCGTAACAGGCAGGAGTACTGTCCCCGCAGCACTCACCCCTAAAGCACCCCATGAGTTCAAAGCCAGTTTGCACCCAGCCCAAGGTCAGCAGTGGGAAGAGCTGA